TGCCAAATGGAGGTTTCTTCTCCGTCTGTAATGAACATGTCTCCGAGCGTAAGCGTCGGTGGTAGTGCGATTGTGGTCATAGTTATCCTAAACGCTGAGAAATCGTGGGGTACGTTTGGAATTAGTGTGACAAGATGTTTTATTTGTTCTTCTTTCGAGTGCGTATTTTCTACAGAAAATTCCAGCTTGATCGTTTCCGCCCACCGTGCACACCTAAACATTTCCTAGATCTTCTCGTCTGTGGGTACGGCATATATTCTGTAGAAGAGGCAGCCAGAGCTTGGATAAAAGCAGTCGCATCCAAGTCCTCCGCACGACTCAAAACATCCCGTTTTTCCTGGGTACTGATTCGCCTGGTGCAGTTCCGGCAATAGGGTTGTACTGTTTACGTCCGCACACTTGTTGCCTGTGCATGAACCCATAAGTGGGCAGCGTTTACTGTCGATGGTCCTCAACTCGGTTGAACGGGTAAAGTATAAGGTTTCGCGTTCACATGTTAGGTAGAGTCCCAACCATCTTATTTTTACATTTGCTATCAGTGAGTTGTTCGCTGTTAGACGCAAACAGACTTCTTGTTTAAACGTATTGATCTTCAGCGTTTCCGAAATTACAAATGTGCACTCTTCTTTGCCTTCTTTTACCTTACATACCGTGGTGTGATGTTCGAGAACATTAACATACTGACAAGCCTCGAGCTGTTGTTCGCCTCCGAAAATTATGACGATCGCCAGTATCGCAGCTATCCGTTCTTGTCTAGTGCGCAGTAGTCTCGTGCGGCGTGAGAGAATCCTGATGCAACATCTGACCATTCGTACAGCAATGACAATCGTCCTTACTAATCCCCACATTATCAAGCGTATAGGATTTCCAATGGTCATTGGCACATATAGTGGTAAATAGAGCAGTGCGACGGTGGCATATAGGAGTACTACTCCGATGAGTATGGCTCTTGTTGGCCAGCATTCCGGATTCAATAATATTGTGATACATAGACTGCAGTCAATGTTTTCACAAAATTTGAGAGCTGGGCACCTGGTTTCCATGACAGATAGATGTTGTTCCGCGATCCATTTGACTGACACCGTGTAGTCGTGCAACGTGATTTCTGGTGGAAATTTCAGCGCGAGAGATTTCGACTGGATTGATATAACTTGCAGTAACTTTCAGCACAGACCTCGAATGTTGCATTAGTGTGAGGACTGATGTGGACTCCATTTTCACTGCACGACAGCTTGATGTTCTTTGAAAGTTTGCCTTGACTGATGCTGGTGAGCATGGAAAGCATGATGTAAAAAAGAACCATTTTGTCTTCGAGTTCCGCAGCTGGTCCCTACCTGACGTGGTCATGACATTTTCAACATAGCTTACTGGTTGTCGAGGTCAAAGGTCATAAAGTTTTTCTCTTTGCTCGTTCCGTGACACTTGCAACTCGTCTTCTTGTGGCACCTACTGGGTTTCCGTGCCGCTTTCCGGACTGCCTATTTCTTCACCCAGTTCCAGTGGAATTAACAGGTTTACAAGGCGTCGTATTTTGCGTTTGGTGCTAGTTTGTAGTTCTACCTCGCAGATAGCTCCGTCGGTTTCTCGCCGAATGTCCGTGATTCGGGCCAGTTTCCATGAATTTCTTGGAAGCACGGGGTCGCTGACGAGGACCACAGATCCATTCCTCGGTATTTCTTGCCCCGATCGTTTTCTTGATGTATTTTTGACGTGCTTTTCTCGAAGAAAGGTCAGGTAGTGTTCTTGCCAGATTTTCCAAAATTGCTCTGTGATTTTACATGATGATTTAATGGCTTCTTCGGCCTGTCGACGCGTTTGTAATGCCCTCATTTCGTCCGATGGTAAATATTCCGCGTCTGACTCTGCTATCGCTGAAGATCCGTCTAGGAGAAATGTCACCCCCAGTTCGTTTTGATAGAAGTCGATGGGTCGTATTGCTGAGAAGTCTTCATGGGAAGAGCTCTGATATGTCAAGGGACGGGAATTCAAACAAGCCTCCACTTCCGTTAAGATAGTGTATAAGTCATCCTTTGTCCTCACCGATATTCCTCGCAGAGCCTTGTACAGTGCATGCTTGATTGATTTGATAAGACGTTCATAGAAAGCTCCTTGCCATGGGGCATAGGGTGTGATATGATGCCACTTTATTCCCATATTACTGGTGGTGTATGTAACATTTGCGGGCAGGCGAGAATCCAGGCGGCCATCTTCTAGAATGGTAGCGCTCAAAAGGAAAGTTGGGGCGTTATCGCAGGTTATCGATTCTGGGATTCCTCTTCGTGCTATGAATCGTCGAAGCGCATTTAGAAAGTCCTCTGTCGACATGCTGTTCGTTAGTTCCAGATGTATCATGCGGGTAACTGCGCAGGTGAATAAGCATCCGTATTGTTTGTCATCATCCTCCTTAGAAAGGGTTGGTAAGTCAAAGAAATCAAGACCAACGTGCTGGAAAGGGCGGCTTCTTTGTACTCTCCGTTGAGGAAGATCTTGTGTGTTTGGATAATGGTAGGGCAGCGCGTTGAAGCGTCTACATTTCACACCCTTTTGAATGAAGGTTCTCGTTTGCTGACGCAGTCGAGGAATCCAGTATTGACTTCTCACCGTCATCATTGTATGATCTATGCTTCGATGATAGCAGCCATGTGCTTCAGCTATGATCAGTCGGGCTAAATGTGTTTTTGGGGTGATGAAGATGGGATTTTTGGCCTTGGAGTCAAGCGTTGACATTTCTAGTCGTCCTCGTGAGCGCCATATTGATTTTTCATTTGAAACAGGCGTAAAGTGTTTTCCATGGATTTTATGTATTCGGGGGACATGAAGCATCGTTGATGATCTTCTATAATTGCCAGTCGTGCCGCCGGTATGCTTGGGCCAGTGATAGGAAGGGGACAATCTTGAACATCTTTCAGGAATGCCATCTTACTGAGCATTTGCCTTCTACGGTTTTCGCTTAGTCTTCGTATCAACTTCTTGAGGAAGATAAGTGCCACCGCCGCTGCTCGCTTTGCCGACTGGAAGCTCGAAAATCTTGTAATGTCCAAAAAGGTTGTCGCTACTTCAGTCTCCACAGCTGTCTCACAAACGATCAGTGTAGTTGTAGCGTTCTCCTTTCCCTGATTCGTGTTCTTCAGGTAGTAGAGCTGTGTTGGCCACTGTTTCTCCGGTTTTCGTAAAAACTTTGGTCCTGTCCACCATGGGTGATCTTCAAATTCGTAGGACTTCAAGCCTCGAGTTCCAGCATCCGCCGGGTTTTCTTCTGAACTTATATAGTGGAAGTTAACCGCTACTTCTTCCTCTTCCAATGTAGTGACGATCTTGTGAACTTCATTGACTCTATTGCGCACTAAGACTCCCTGTTTGATATGTTGTGAGTCTGATGATACCCAGCTAAGCGCAACTTGTGAATCTGAGAGAATGTGCATCTTTCTGGGAGAGGTTTCCGTCTTCACAGCCTTGAATACAGCAAGTGCCAGTCCCGCTGCTATCGTGATTGCGTTCAACTCCATCTTTGGTATAGTTGTGCGTACTTTTATGGAGGCCAGTTTCGATTTTGCCATAACTAAGCTGGCTGATTTGTCATAGAGCACGTAAGCACATGCTGCCATGCATTCCTCGCTTGCGTCCGCGAAGATCGCCAACTGAAATTCCTTTGCATCACTTAGTGCTTTGCGAGACAAAGCTTTTTGAAATCCGTCCACTTCTTCTCTCAAGGAATCCCACTTTTCTTGAAGACTGCCTGAAATCCTCTCGTCCCATTGCAGTCGTTGTTTCCAAAGGTCTTGCTGAAACACCTTCATCTTGACCATAAGCGGGATTAACCAGCCTAAAGGATCGTAAACAGAGGCAATGTGGCGAGCAACGAGTCTTTTTGTAGCATATGCTTCTTTGGGTATCTTGCAAGTGATGGTGATCATGTCCTTTTCTGTATCCCATTGAAGTCCAAGTATTTTCTGAGATTTGCCTCGAGCCAGAGCTTCTTCCGGAATCATTTTGTGCAGTCCTCTCGTGTTTGACAGAAATTCGCGGAGGTTCATTCCCATTTCCGTGAAGACGTTTCGTGCTTTAATAGCCTTTGCGTTGAGCTCCACTTCCTTGTGCGCTGTCAAAATAAGATTGCCTACATACAGGTTTTCTCTAATTTCCTTTGCAAGTGGTTGATCGATGACAGAGTGCTCTAAGTGGTACTGTATCGTTCCGGCCAGTAGGAAGGGCGATACATTCAATCCAAATGTCACTCTTGTGAACCTATATGTGACAATGTTGTCCTCTTCTGCAGGTGAGTTAATGTGGCGGACCCATAAAAATCTTGTAGCATCGCGATCAAGTTCATGAAGATGAACCTGCAAGAATGCCTTCTCCACGTCTGCTGTGGCTGCAAACGATGCCATTCTAAAGCGAAGCAACATCGCATACAGATCAGGAAGAATGAGTGGACCTTGGTAAAGTACGTCATTCAGTGATGGACAGTCCTTAAAATGAGATGAGGCATCGAAAACAATGCGAAGTTTTGTTGTCTCCTTGTGCGGCGTAATCACGGGTTGGTGAGGGATGTAATGCAAATGCTTTCCGACAGTTGCTTCATCTCCAGGAATTTCTTGGAATATTCCCTTCTCTAGCTGTTCTTTCAGGGCTTGATCGTATGCTTGGAGTAAATCTGGTTTCGATTTCAGCATGAGCAGAACGCTGTTGAGTCGTTTTTTCGCTATGGCTCTATTGTTTGGAAGATAAGGATGATCTTCTTTGAATGGTAGCCTCACATAATAGCCGTCATTGCGCCTTTGTATTGTGTCCTTGAAAAACTGCGCAACCTCTGCATTGTTAGCTGCTTTTTCTGCGCCTTTAGTGCCCGTGAATTCGCAGATACCGGCCGAATCTATGGCCCAGTACTTGTCCCACCGATCCCTATCTTCCTCGAAGTTTGCAGACGAGAGATTCAGAAGAAGCTCAAAAACGTACAGAGCGAGACCTTTCGCTCAAAACAGCACTCTTTGCAGTCAACTATGAAGAAGGAAGCAGAAAAGTGGAGGGAGAATTCGAAGAAGCAGAGCAGGCATTTCAAGCATGTTTTTGCAGGATTAGAAGGAAAGTCAAACCCGGTGTCACCTGCTCAGAAGAAAACCAGTAGCGAAGAGAGACGAAGAGGTATCCAGTTGGCACTTGCAGTACCAAAGGAAAAAGATGAAAACAAGCGAAGTCTCACAGTGTATACGAGAAGGCACACCCAAAGACAACCTTCTTTGTCAAGAGAAAAGAAGGTATAAATTGGTGGCAGTACATAAGGAACAGATGACAAAAATCGAAAAGAACTCAAACTGCCCCTTCACTGAACCTTCCGGCAAGCGTCAACAACGAACAAGGAAGCAGCATGGTCTACGGAGAGATCGCTCGGCAAAAAATCATCTTGGAAGTTTTGTGGTACAAGACACTAACGATTATATCCAGAAAGTGCTCTGCTTGTGCTAATCATGTATTTGAGCATTCAAAGCCTAGAATTAACAGTTCCTTGGACAGTTCGTCATATATTTGCCAGGATAAGTTACCTACCGATGCATATAGTGGTAAAAGTAGGAAGATGCTTACAAAGAACGCTTCAGCACAGTTCGTACCCCCACCAGAAAACAGTTCAAGGAATACGCGCTAGATGATTTTCCCGATGACAAGTTCCAAGTAGTTACGAACTTGCGTAGCCGGGAGTAACGCGGATTGCGATGCAATTGAGCAAGATAGTGCATGAGAGTTGCATACGATGACCCCTCAGTACCAGTTGAGACGTTCACGGATCGCAATGCTTGCTAATTGAAAGGCTAGTTGCGAAACGCCAAGGAATGAATCCACGATGCCAGATGCGACATTCCCTTCGACAAAAAGATCTCGGTCCACCGACAAAAACGATTGCAGCTGCAGAAGGAACGATGGAGCCAGCAAGCGAACGTCTATATATACTTAGTCATTATTACTCATGCATTTTCCATCACTTACACTCATTGCTTGTGTTGCCTTACTATCCGCTCATTCCTTGTAGGATGGCACATTCAACACTCCTATCATATGTTTCCTAATCCCCTCTTGTACATTTCTTGCAAGTAGTCCAAATTCACATGACCAAGATATTATTTTGGTTTGACTTATCGTCATCATAGTTCCAACCATTTGTTAGTGATTTCGTCACTTTTTCATGCTGATGCTTCGTTGTTTATGTGTGTGTATATTTCAAGCAGAATGAGGGTTTAATTACCCAAGTTTGAGGTGATCGGCAATAAACGCGTGTCGTTCATGCGGTGGCTGGTGTGGTTCAATTGGCAAGGTTGTGGCAACCTTTTTAGGCCCAAGTTTTTAAGCTGCGACTCTCTCAGTGGGATAGCCTGCAGTCTCCCAACCCGGATGATGCCAAACTTAGATATGGGCATGCGAACAACCAACTGCTCTCTCTTCAAACTCTTCGCTTCTCAATAGAGCGCATATGCAGCGCAAATCCGTAGCGCTGTGGGCGCAATCTCACGTCAACGTTGTGGGCTAACTCCGATTAGGGCTTAATGTAGGTATGGTTTGTTCCTCAGAAATATTCCCATAGGTGACACGTACACTCACTGCTTTGTAATCGTTTTGACACGTTCACTTTGAGAAAATGCCTTGAACTTGCTGAAGTTAAATGCTAAGAAAAACGAAAGGCAGCGAGCTGACGTGTATAGGCCAGAGGCGGACGAGGGGGAAAGCCGCTTCCCCTCCCCCCCCCCCCCCCCCACCCTGAGAATGAGTGCGACACATTCTCGGGGGAAAGAAGATTGAACGTAATTTTTTGAAACTTACTTGCATAGGTTACAAAAATGTGTTGGACTTGTTGGCTTGACTTGTTTATTCTTGTAAATAAATAAAGTAATCTTTTGAATTTTTTAAAAATTCAAATTAGCCCTATAGCCACGTCCCCTTTTCATAGATTAAGGGTTATGGACCCGCAAATACTTAGAGAAGCACCACAAAAAATCTTTCGGATTGCTGGCTAAAGCCAGGCACCTTCACTTGAACCCGGGACGGAAATCCAGCGACTGTCACCGTATAGGCCTATGAAAAACTAATACCCCGCGCGATGCCTTAGGCCCTGGGCATACCCACGCTGGGCATACCCACGCAATTTCAGTCGCGACCCCATTTGGCAATCCTCCAATTGTTCATAGCCATCGTAGGGGGTTTCTGAATGTACGGAAAATAGCGCACTTCATCAACAATATATATCACTTTATCAAAGTTGTATACGCTGTGCATTTCGGGTCCCAATAGTGAATTCGAAGACATCTGACAAATTGCCAGATCGCGTGGGGACTGAAATAGCGTGAGGTATGCCTACTCAGACAATCGACGGGACCCCTCCGCCGGACCCTCGGAAACTGCCAGGGTCGCGTCGGACCCAGTTGACCAATGAGAGAAGGGCAAATGGGCGGTCCATCGCGGTGGCATCACTGGCAGGCAAATGGGAGGCTTCTCCGGCCCTGCTGCAAAGGTCCGCCATTTCTCCGGCGCGACTCTGCCAGATTTGACGGACTCCGCGCCGCAGAGATCTGCGCGGCGCGTGTCCGTTAAATTTGGAAGAGACGCGCCGGAGAAAATGGGAGGGGTCCGGAGCAGAAATGGGAGGCCTCCGGAGCAGAAAATGGGAGGTATCCGGAGCAGAAAATGGGAGGTATCCGGAGCAGAAAATGGGGGGTATCCGGAGCAGAAGATGGGAGGTATCCGCCGGAGAAATGGGAGGGCTCCGGAGCAGGCTGCGTATCGATTTGGCGCGTAGCCACGCTTGAGATTTTGAGACGTTCTTAAATGCGCGCTATCTAGACTATCTAGTGTTGTTGTGATAAAAGTATGGTCTAAATTATCCGTTTATTGCTATCTCTCTTGTACGTATGCTTACCAAGTCGATCGACTTTTCATCAGACGTTGCAGATCCTCACTATATCGTTTTTGGCTTGATAGATAGGACAAGGCAAGAGTTATGTTGACAAAAGTCTTGGAGGCAACTCCAAACGATGTTGAAGTTTTGATAGATCTTGCTCAGCTTCTGGAAGGAGTTGATCCGCATGTTAGTTTACATCATCAATTACATTTTACGAGTTTTGACAACCGGCTCTTCTAGAAATCGCTCACTCTCTATGAAAATGCTTGTGATCTCATAAAAACGAGCGAAGATGGTTTACAAATTGATCCTCCAGCTGCTATCTTAAACAATATCGGAGCCTTGCACATGACTTTGGAAAATTATGAAAGGGCGAAGGAGTACTTCGAAGCAGCGGAAGCTAAGCTCCAAGTAAGTTGCATGTGCTTAGCTTCGCTCATTCTCTTCGATCGTTACAGGAAGATTTGGAGGGAGATCTGTGCGATTCGAAACTTTCTTCCTATGTCATCACTATGAGATACAACCTCGCTAGATGTTTGGAACACTTGTGCTTGTTCGAAGACGCTGAAGTTTTATACAAAGGCATTTTGAGAGAACAAGAAAATCACGGATTGTAAGTTTTTTCAAATTAACATTCTGTGCACTCATTCTAGTGCATCATATTGCAAAGGTTATCTTCGTTTCGGATGTCTTGCACGCGATCGAGGGCAGATTTATGAATCATCGGTGTGGTTCAAAGAAGCGATGTCCGTTGGGAAGGAAGGATCGGTTATCAATGTTTACTCTTTATCCTGTGTAAGCAGAACCGGTTTATTTTTTGCATTCAAGCATTTCCATTCTCCTCAACACTTTCACTCCTTTCTGCTCCAACTTTTCCTTCCAAAAATTGTGCGATCCGCGCCAACTCTTCTTGCGTCCTGGGTAGAATTGCCTCATTTTCCTTCCAAGGAACTATCTCATGAGTAAGCGGCTTAAATTTGGATGTGATGGTTTGCTGTTCAAGGCATGTTTTTGCAAAAGGAGGTTCATTCTTAGTTTGCAATTTTTTAGTCGTAAGCATGACTCAATCTGTTGTCGTGATTCTCCTCTTTTTCATCAGTTTTCATGTTCGTTTCGTTGTCAAGCCTTTAAGCTAAATATGTTAAGCTGTGCGTAAGGGATCGTTCATACCGCGCACAAAGGCGGACGAAGGCGGACGAAGCTGGACAAAGGCGGACGAAGCCGGACAAAGGCGGACGAAGGCGCGTGTGAGTGTGTGTGCGTGTCGAGAGAAACGAGACGAGACGAGACCGCGCCTTCGTCCGCCTTTGTCCGGCTTCGTGCGGCTTCGTCCGCCTTTGTGCGCGGTATGAACGATCCCTAATATCGGTCGAGAAACAAGCAACGAAAGAGTAAGGGAACTTCATAGGAGAACTTATGTTTTTCCTAGCTGCGACGCATTATTCTGGAGGAGTATTGATTTTTTTTGTTTACAAAATCTGATCTACTAGCATTGTTCATCATCTAGGTGCTAATTTGCTGCGTTAAAATTCTTGTCAGTGACAGAATACTCATTTGATGCCATTTTAGTATCCCAGCACGGTTTTTACGCAACTTTCCATCTACTGCAAGCGCTCCCAGGTTGGATAGTATGCCAATTTCGCAGGAAAAGTGCGCGTAACTTTCTTCAGAGTAGGTGCCGCAACTAAGGACAGCATTATTTGGAATCGGCGTTCGAAGCTTTCCGAATATATATCTCACTAGCGGCCCTACGGGCCGCTGTAAGTGGGTCGGGGCAGATACATTAGTATTTGCTTAATTGGGACTGCATCTAACTATAAGCGGTGTTCAAATCGCCTCTCTAGGAAGAAATAAATAAAAAATCAAGCTTCGCGTGTAGACACAAAAATATCTGATCTTTTCTCCCAAATGCCACCACCAGAATTTAGTTATTTGATTCAGCTTGCTTTTTCTGTTGCTTGGTTAAAATCAACATAATCGCTTCCCTAGAAGACTGACCAATGCAAACGCATGCTGGGTCTTCACTTCGGGAGCAAGGGCAAAATAAAGGACTCCAAAGATGATTGGCCGTTGAAAATCGAACAACAGGGGAAAAGCTGGCAGCGGGTCCCAGGGTTTGAAAGCAAAAGTTGAGGTGGTTGCAGGGCGTAGGCAATGTGGCATAAATTTCGTGGAAATCGAGCTTTTCAGTGATTTGTATGAAGATTGTGGGGAAAACAAAACTTTTCGTTCTAAAAACTGGCCAGCCATAGAGAGAGCCCTCCGGAGCTCAACCAGCGAGACCACAGCTTCCATGCTGGGTCTTCACTCCGGGAGCAAAGGCATTTTCTGTGGCCAAATTTCTGTCGAAATCGATTTTTTTACCGTTTTTCGTGGAAATTGTGGGGAAAACAAAACTTTTCGTTCTAAAAACTGGCCAGCCATAGAGAGAGCCCTCCGGAGCTCAACCAGCGAGACCACAGCTTCCATGCTGGGTCTTCATTCCGGGAGCAAAGGCATTTTCTGCGGACAGATTTCTGTCGAAATCGAGGTTTTTACCGTTTTTCGTGGAAATTGTGGGGGAAAACAAAAGTTTTTCGTTCTAAAAACTGGCCAGCCATAGAGAGAGCCCTCCGGAGCTCAACCAGCGAGACCACAGCTTCCATGCTGGGTCTTCATTCCGGGAGCAAAGGCATTTTCTGCGGACAGATTTCTGTCGAAATCGAGGTTTTTACCGTTTTTCGTGGAAATTGTGGGGGAAAACAAAAGTTTTTCGTTCTAAAGACTGGCCAGCCACAGAGAGAGCCCTCCGGAGCTCAACCAGCGAGACCACAGCTTCCATGCTGGGTCTTCATTCCGAGAGTAAAGGCATTTTCTGTGGCCAAATTTCTTTCGAAATCGATTTTTTTACCGTTTTTCGTGGAAATTGTGGGGAAAACAAAACTTTTCGTTCTAAAGACTGGCCAGCCACAGAGAGAGCCCTCCGGAGCTCAACCAGCGAGACCACAGCTTCCATGCTGGGTCTTCATTCCGAGAGCAAAGGCATTTTCTGTGGCCAAATTTCTGTCGAAATCGAGGTTTTTACCGTTTTTCGTGGAAATTGTGGGGAAAACAAAACTTTTCGTTCTAAAAACTGGCCAGCCATGGAGAGAGCCCTCCGGAGCTCAACCAGCGAGACCACAGCTTCCATGCTGGGTCTTCATTCCGGGAGCAAAGGCATTTTCTGTGGACAGATTTCTGTCGAAATCGATTTTTTTACCGTTTTTCGTGGAAATTGTGGGGGAAAACAAAAGTTTTTCGTTCTAAAGACTGGCCAGCCACAGAGAGAGCCCTCCGGAGCTCAACGAGCGAGACCACAGCTTCCATGCTGGGTCTTCATTCCGAGAGTAAAGGCATTTTCTGTGGCCAAATTTCTGTCGAAATCGATTTTTTTACCGTTTTTCGTGGAAATTGTGTGGAAAACAAAACTTTTCGTTCTAAAAACTGGCCAGCCATAGAGAGAGCCCTCCGGAGCTCAACCAGCGAGAACACAGCTTCCATGCTGGGTCTTCATTCCGAGAGTAAAGGCATTTTCTGTGGCCAAATTTCTGTCGAAATCGATTTTTTTACCGTTTTTCGTGGAAATTGTGTGGAAAACAAAACTTTTCGTTCTAAAAACTGGCCAGCCATAGAGAGAGCCCTCCGGAGCTCAACCAGCGAGACCACAGCTTCCATGCTGGGTCTTCATTCCGAGAGTAAAGGCATTTTCTGTGGCCAAATTTCTGTCGAAATCGATTTTTTTTACCGTTTTTCGTGGAAATTGTGTGGAAAACAAAACTTTTCGTTCTAAAAACTGGCCAGCCATAGAGAGAGCCCTCCGGAGCTCAACCAGCGAGAACACAGCTTCCATGCTGGGTCTTCATTCCGGGAGCAAAGGCATTTTCTGTGGCCAAATTTCTGTCGAAATCGATTTTTTTACCGTTTTTCGTGGAAATTGTGGGGAAAACAAAACTTTTCGTTCTAAAAACTGGCCAGCCATAGAGAGAGCCCTCCGGAGCTCAACCAGCGAGACCACAGCTTCCATGCTGGGTCTTCATTCCGGGAGCAAAGGCATTTTCTGCGGACAGATTTCTGTCGAAATCGAGGTTTTTACCGTTTTTCGTGGAAATTGTGGGGGAAAACAAAAGTTTTTCGTTCTAAAGACTGGCCAGCCACAGAGAGAGCCCTCCGGAGCTCAACCAGCGAGACCACAGCTTCCATGCTGGGTCTTCATTCCGAGAGTAAAGGCATTTTCTGTGGCCAAATTTCTGTCGAAATCGATTTTTTTACCGTTTTTCGTGGAAATTGTGTGGAAAACAAAACTTTTCGTTCTAAAAACTGGCCAGCCATAGAGAGAGCCCTCCGGAGCTCAACCAGCGAGAACACAGCTTCCATGCTGGGTCTTCATTCCGAGAGTAAAGGCATTTTCTGTGGCCAAATTTCTGTCGAAATCGATTTTTTTTACCGTTTTTCGTGGAAATTGTGGGGAAAACAAAACTTTTCGTTCTAAAAACTGGCCAGCCATAGAGAGAGCCCTCCGGAGCTCAACCAGCGAGAACACAGCTTCCATGCTGGGTCTTCATTCCCGGAGCAAAGGCATTTTCTGTGGCCAAATTTCTGTCGAAATCGATTTTTTTACCGTTTTTCGTGGAAATTGTGGGGAAAACAAAACTTTTCGTTCTAAAAACTGGCCAGCCATAGAGAGAGCCCTCCGGAGCTCAACCAGCGAGACCACAGCTTCCATGCTGGGTCTTCATTCCGGGAGCAAAGGCATTTTCTGCGGACAGATTTCTGTCGAAATCGAGGTTTTTACCGTTTTTCGTGGAAATTGTGGGGGGAAAACAAAAGTTTTTCGTTCTAAAGACTGGCCAGCCACAGAGAGAGCCCTCCGGAGCTCAACCAGCGAGACCACAGCTTCCATGCTGGGTCTTCATTCCGAGAGTAAAGGCATTTTCTGTGGCCAAATTTCTGTCGAAATCGATTTTTTTACCGTTTTTCGTGGAAATTGTGGGGAAAACAAAACTTTTCGTTCTAAAAACTGGCCAGCCATAGAGAGAGCCCTCCGGAGCTCAACCAGCGAGACCACAGCTTCCATGCTGGGTCTTCATTCCGGGAGCAAAGGCATTTTCTGTGGACAGATTTCTGTCGAAATCGAGGTTTTTACCGTTTTTCGTGGAAATTGTGGGGAAAACAAAACTTTTCGTTCTAAAAACTGGCCAGCCATAGAGAGAGCCCTCCGGAGCTCAACCAGCGAGACCACAGCTTCCATGCTGGGTCTTCATTCCGAGAGTAAAGGCATTTTCTGTGGCCAAATTTCTGTCGAAATCGATTTTTTTACCGTTTTTCGTGGAAATTGTGTGGAAAACAAAACTTTTCGTTCTAAAAACTGGCCAGCCATAGAGAGAGCCCTCCGGAGCTCAACCAGCGAGAACACAGCTTCCATGCTGGGTCTTCATTCCGAGAGTAAAGGCATTTTCTGTGGCCAAATTTCTGTCGAAATCGATTTTTTTACCGTTTTTCGTGGAAATTGTGGGGAAAACAAAACTTTTCGTTCTAAAAACTGGCCAGCCATAGAGAGAGCCCTCCGGAGCTCAACCAGCGAGAACACAGCTTCCATGCT